TCAGTACGGGCTTCAAAGTTATTATGAGAAGTTTTGGGTCAAACATTGAATATACAAAAGTCTTAAGACTGACTTTATGGTAATTTATTAATCACTTGTTCGGTCTGTGGAAAATGGGTCGAAAATCAAGTGACTGATACGAAAATTCATACACCAAAAAGGGTCAAAATGTGCATTTGCTGTTGCTAAGGGGTCAAAATGTACGTTTCTTAAAAGTAAAGATCAATTCGTGATTTCATGAAAACTTTTCTGCAAAAAAACTCTTCAAGTGACTAAATTTTGCAATTATACCCTCGAAGTCAATTAAATATAGGTCAACCCACGAATTGATAGTCAATCCGCAATATAATCCTCCACGATATATATGTGTATAAGACCATGTATTTTTTTAACGGCTTTCAAAACTACGTCGTTTTAGCTAGATTTTTTTAAAGAATAAAACTGCAAACTGCAAAACAAAGACTTGAATCCACGATCTCATGACAAACTCTGTACATCCTTAACCCGCAATATAACCCTCCACGGTATATATTTGTATAAGACCGTGTATTTTTTTAACGGCTTTTAAAACTACGTCGTTTTGGTTAAATTATTTTAAAGAATAAAACTGCAAAACAAATAGTTGGACCCACGATCTCATGACAAACTCTCTACAGCCTTAACCAACTGAGCCAAAGCAACTTGTGTTACGTAATATAACACATAATTATTATATAACTAAACTGAAATTTTCTAAAATCTCATACACAACCGTGAAAGTATTTTAAACCGCCTGTATTCCGCCGCTTTGTCAAACCATAAAGAATTATATTATCCAATTGAAGCCCTCTCAATAAGGATTTTAAATTCAGTCTTAGAATTTCGAAATTCCATGTCTCCGGCCGTATAAACCCTTCGAAGATTCATATCCGAAAATCAAATATGCTCAGATTTTAAAATAAACTACTGGGCTTTCTTAATTTTGGCCTCACGAGTTTAGAACTAGTCTCGATTTTTCAAGATTCAATCTAGAACTCCGGGAAATTTTCAAGACTATTACTTCGTGCGTTAACTTGCATTTAATTGATTTCAAGGGTATAATTGCAAAAGCTAGCCACTTGAAGGGTTTTTTTTTTTTGCAGAAAACCAGTTGGGTTTAATTTAGCTCCAGGCTCCGGTATTACCGGTTAACGTCGACGGCTAAAACGCGAACTTTGTCGGCGATGGGATCGAACATGGTTGGATTCGAGAGTTACGTTGTAGCGAAGCGGCGACGGCGTCGGAGCACTAGCACTAACTCGTAGTGCGACGGCGTTCGGAATTAGTTCCGGAGCTAATCCTCGTCGGAAGCCGTGACATTTGAGCCATCGGAAAGAATGGGTTCCGCCATTTTCTCGAGGTCTTTCTCTCTGCTCATATCTATGCATACACACAAATCACCCGAATTCTATGGGAATCTCGAATTTTTTTTTATCACAATTCCCATTTTGAAATTTTGCTGTGATGTTTGAGAATGATCTCCACCTTCTGGAGAATAAACTACTTTAGGGATTTTGATTGTCTGGAGAATCTGATTCTTGTATATGTTAGAATAAAATTCTCTTTAATCACACATTTTCTGTATGGAAAGAAACATTTGTATCTCTTATTTATAATCTACAGAGAGACGACTCAGTGGGAATTGAAGAAAACCACTCTTCTTCTTGGAATGCACTCAGTGGTATTTAGCAGTTCTGATGGTAAGTAAAAACCTCTGACTGACATTTGAAGTGACACTTGAGATATTTACCTTTGTATCTTGCGTTGAAGCCATAAGGAATTCATATGATTTGGAAGTTAGAATTTGCATCCTTGTTTTGGGATAAAGGTTCAATTATGTTGCTCTTTCAGTTTGGTGTTTCAGGTCTTTAGTGGTACTGGTACCTATGAATTATAATATAAGTGGTATTTACGATCCGCTTAATCAGGAACTTAAGTTCACAGGTACAATAGTCTCATTATGTTTTGGATAATTTATTCTCTTATTTCTTCCTGCTTCTTGTAAGTTCGGATGTAATATGCTTCTTTTGTTGTGAATTTTTTTCTTTTCTTTAATTACGAGAAACTCCAGAAAAAAAAACTGATTGTTAATAGCTAAGATAGCAATTTTAATTAAGGTTTTTTCATTCAGGAACATGCTAAACTAATAAGTGGAAAATCTTTTGGTCCCAGCCTCCCAGGGTTGGTAATTTGTTTGATAAAAGTCAACAAATAGCCTGTTTATACATCAGTTTTTATCCATATAAAGTATGGTTATAATCTAGATACACATGCACAGTCTAAACTCTTACATAGAAGTCTGGTTG